AAATAGATACCAAAATATATAATAAATTATATTAAAATTGATATTAAAATTTATATTAGGGGAAATTAGGGGGGTTACTATTTTATTAGTGACATTCTCAATCTAGGTATTACAGAAATTTCCTTAAAGTGTCATATTTACATCTTCTCCATATGCTATGCACAACAAAAATCACCTTTCCAGGAATAGTGCTGCTCGGCGGTCCTATGCCATAAGACCGTGCTTTTGCGACATGCCAGTGGACGCTCGCTGCTGCGGATCCACACTGTTATGTAGCCCCACGTCTGTTCATGATGGTAGCGACGTCAAGCAGAGGATGTGCGCGCACGTTTTGGTGTCAAAGGCCAGATACAGCCAATCGCATTCACAAGAGGGATATTTAAACACACTAATTTCTTCTAATCATTGTCCTGTCGTAGTTTACCTTTGCTGGTTATGCGAAAGTGTGTTCCTGACTGTGTTTCTTTGGTTATTGACTTTGGCGTTGTTCTGAGAACCTTAAATTCTGGTATCCCTGACTATTGGCTATTCCTTGCAACTGTGTTTCGTTCTGTGTTCCTGACCTCGGCTAGTATTTTGACTATTCTTTGGTACGTTAAGTTCGGCCATGCTAAGGTCAGGTTAAGTAGGCTATATTAGTCTTTTTATCTCTGAGCTCCTCTGCCACGCGTCTGCTCCGTTCTGCTCAGTAAATGTATTCTTAAATTGCTATGTGTGTCAAAAAAATCACTTATTATTATTATATTTTTAAAATTTGGCATAGATTGATGATAAAATGGTTGCATTAAAAGAGTCAAAATACCTCAAGTTTAATACTTTAGGTTGTCTTCTTTTAAAATATATATACCTGTGAAGGGATATCCAGGGATTCCTGACAGATATCAGTGTTACAATGTAACCTGCGTTACATTGAAAAAAGTGGATTACATTGTGCGTTACATTGAAAAAAGTGGTTTGGAAATAGCGAAGTGCTACTTGTGCTTATAGCCCTATAACTTTCCAAAAAAGCTAAGAACATGTTAACATTGGGTATTTCTAAACTCAGGACAAAATGTAGAAACTATTTAGCATGGGTGTTTTTTGGCGCTTGTAGATGCGTAACAGACTTTGTGAGTCAAAGTTAGAAAAAGTGTGTTTTTTACATTTTTTTCATCATATTTTATAATTTTATAATAAATTATATGACATGATGAAAATAATGGTATCTTTAGAAATACCACTTAATGGCGAGAAAAACTGTACATAATATGTGTGGGAACAGTAAATGAGTAAGAGGAAAATTGCAGCTAAACACAAACACAGCAGAAATGTAAAAAGAGCCCTGGTCCTTAACGGTAACAAAATTGAAAAACTGTCTGGTTACTAAGGGGTTAAAAAAGGCACTTGTGGCTCTCAGGCCTAGCTCTTTCTTAACACATCCCCGGGATCAGGGACCAGTGAAGTTAGCCAACAGTCTCGACAACTCTGCTACTGTAATCCCCAAATAAACTAGACAGGACACACAATTCCCAATGGAACTAGCACACGATGCTTTATTTTCACTCAGGACTAGCTCCAATCCACATTACATTAAACTTATGACGACACACTCAATCCAATACATATAACAAAATCATATGGGTAATCATACAGACACTGATAATAATAATACAATGTAATATTGATAAAGAGGTAGGGAAGACAAAGACTTTACAAGACGTATGTTCCTTGCCTGTATTAAAGGACCACTATAGTGCCAGGAAAACATACTAATTTTCATGGCACTATAGTTCCCTGAGGGTGCCCCCACCCTCAGGGTCCCCCTCCTGCCGTGCTCTAGGTGGAGGAACTTACCTCATTCTCCAGCACCGGGCGGGGAGCTCTCCTCCTCCTCTCTGCCTCCTCTCCTCCTCTTTGTTTGAATGCGCAAGCGCGGCAGGAGCTGCGCGCGCGCGCATTCAGCCAGTCTCGTAGGAAAGCATTCATAATGCTTTCCTATGGATGCTTGTGTCTTCTCACTGTGATTTTCACAGTGAGAAGCACGCAAACGCCTCTAGCGGCTGTCAATGAGACAGCCACTAGAGGCTTTAGAGGCTGGATTAACCTATTTATAAACATAGCAGTTTCTCTGAAACTGCTATGTTTATAAAAAAAAAGGGTTAACCCTAGCTGGACCAGGCACCCAGACCACTTCATTAAGCTGAAGTGGTCTGGGTGCCTATAGTGGTCCTTTAAACCATAACATGTAAATCTATCTGAATATGAAAATTAATTAGCCTTGCAGGTTGTGCACATAACTGTTGCAACCAACAGGTGGCGCTGCAAAGGCTTGCAAGATCTTTCATAACCAACAGGTGGCACTAAAAAGGCTCCATGGCATTACAATATTACACACCCTGCATGAGCATGGGTTGACTTAAACTTAAGAGTCATCCGGGGACTTACGTGAAGTGTCAGTCTTATGCTCACAGTGATGGTGACTACCATAACACTTCTCTAGGAGAAGCATTTGATTGGACCATTTCCACCAGCTTATAGTGCATACATGCGCTCTGAAACAGAGAAGGGAGGGGTGGAGTGAAGACAGAGGTCTTGCTTTTATATGTACATATAAAAAAGTTATGTTCTAAATGGAGGGTGGCCCGGAGGGATTGCAGGAGGGAGGGGACTTTGAATCTTCTGCTTGGTGGCACGCTCCGAGCACTGCCTACATGGTTAGAAGCTGTCGCCAGTGTGCACTTCGCAGTGACAACATACGTCATTTTTGCACAGGACTCACATAAAGCAGCCCGAAGCAGAGTTCCTGGTTGCATAAGCTCCATGGGTGCAAATTGCCCCAGCACAAAACTGCAGGAACTCTGCACATTCAGATTCCCATGACCAATTCTGAACATAGAAGATGTCATGGTGGTTGGAGTAACCCGTTCAATTTAAAATGCATTTATTTCTTTTATTTTTTACTTTTAGTGAATAACTGTGTGTGTGTGTGTTTTATTAGGTTGTCCAGGCTATTTATCCCAAGTTTTCAAATAGATGCTTAAACAGAATTAAGTCACTTGTACATGGGTCATTACGAATCTTGTTCTGGATGTGTGATCTGCATAATAGGTTCTAAAATGCTGATTTTCCACCATAAACAATATTAAAAGCCAAGCTTCACTGCTACCTTCTAATCCAGCCCATTCACTGTCTGTGACTGTTTAATGCCCCATCAAGCCACCCATTGAATGGTAATGACCTTCAATATATTTTATACCTTCCTGAAAACACATTTATGGCATTAACTATTTTATTTTTTTTTATTCATTTTTTTTTCCCAGTAAAATCTTTTCAGGAGTACAAATGTTACATTTACAAATGCTCTAAAAATTTTTTTGAGAAAAGTATTAAAGCAGGTATTTCTCAAATAACGGCCCTTCCGTGGAAGGATTTAGTTTTTACCTAGCAACAACTTGTGGGTGGCTGCAAAGCTTAGGAGGAAAGCAATGCAGTAAAACACATTCAAAGGAAGCCTTATACTCCCACACAATCTGCACTATGCTTTCAGATACAGAGGATGTGGAGCTTTTCCACTCTCCGAGAGAGAGAGAGAGAGAGAGAGAGAGAGAGAGTGGAAATGGACATAGAGCCTGAAAACCTGTCTCCACTCTGCACATCCACTCCATGCAGTGATTCAATTATTTTTAAAAAAGAATTGCGTTAGTCTGTTAACAGATGCAGCTTTTTATTGGTCTAAATAAATGACAGATGACATGTTTAGACAGTTGTGTTCTTTGTCATTCTTGTGTAAATGGAAAACACATTTCAAATCACATTTGAATTTTTTTTAAAAAACATTTATAAATGGTCTTCTGAGATATTTAGCTGTTGGCGGTAAAACAAGTGGTAATTCTTTTCTTTTTGGACACTAGCTTAACTTTTTACTGTGTCATGTAAATCTAACGGTAAGATTACAGGGCAAATGGTGTCACACTGCACAATAATAATTGCCACTTACTAACTTACTTACAACTTGTTACAATGGTTATACTGGATGCCAAGAACTCTAGCCAGAGCAAACATCGAAGGAAAGACAACAAGGATTTAAAAAATTTAATTGGAACTCAGTTGAACCCCAAACTCTTACAATGCAAACATGCTAATAAGAAATTAATCCTTTTATACTGAGTCTGAAAGTAGCATTCCAGCAGCTGTACTAAAAAGAAAGATATTAAAACCACTAAAGTTCAATAAAACCATTATTATAACTCAAGGGGACCCATATCGGATCCCCATGAAAAGAAAAATGTAGGAGACCCAGTGCTGCTAAAAACTGTAGAGTGTTTGTTGGCAGGTCCTACCCACTAAAATGCTTGTATTTTCCAGGGAAGTGTTACAACTAGACCAACTTTTCTTTCTCCTCTGGAGCTGTAAGTGTAGGGTAATGTTACCCATGTGCAGCTCTTGTGAGGCCTTAGGCAAAGTTTAAATATGGGGCCTCGTGATTCCCCTAACACCTCAGCAAGTCTTTTCCCATAGAATTAAATGCATTCTCCCAGTCACATAGACCCATGTATGATTATCCTCATCACAATACAATACACAGATCCCCAAAACCCCTTCATCCTCCCAGTCCCATAACCATTTAGCCCACATAAAGGGCCACTGCTACCGCTAGGCAAACCAGGCAGCTGCCTAGGACACACCTGCCCAAAGAGGCACAATATCCGGGCTCCGGTTGACTGGCAGGAGGAGAGTGCACAGCACTGTGTGGTCGCGCAGACTGCAGTTACAGCATCTTCTTTATCCTACCCAGTCTGACTGGAAGTGCTGGCTGGGAGCAATGAACAGCTTCCTATCAGACCAGGTAGAGGATACAGAAGAACCCCTTCCCAAAGTCCACTCGGCCACAATACACAGGGGATGTGAGCAGGCGCACAAAGGTGGAAAAGAGAAAGACACACAGAGGTGCTGTGGAAGGGGACACAGAGACACTCAGCATGGCTGAGGAAGGGGACACTAACACACAGAGGGGTTGAGGAAGGGACAATGAAACATACAGAGGGGCTGGGAAAGCAGATAGTGACACACATAGGGGCTGCAGAAGGGGACAATGTGTCACCTTCCCCAGGGTCTCTGTGAGTCATTGTCCCCTTCTGCAGCCCCTGTGTGTGTCACTATCTGCTTTCCAAGCCCCTCTGTGTGTTTCATTGTCCCTTCTCCAACCCCTCTGTGTGTTATTGTCCCCTTCCTCAGCCATGCTGAGTGTCTCTGTGTCCCCTTCCACAGCCTCTCTGTGTGTCAAAGACACTCAGAGGGGCTGTGGAAGGATTCAGTGACACACACAGAAGGGCTGGGGAAGAGAAAAAAGACACCAAAAGGAGCTGGGGAGAGAGACACCCAAAGGAGCTCAGGGGAGAGACACACAAAATGGCTGGGGGGGAAGAGACACAAAAATGGTCCGGAGGAGAGAGACACGCAAAGGTTCTGGAGGAAAGAGACACACAAAGGAGCTGGGAAGAGAGACAGCAAATGGACAAGGGGAGAAAGAGACACACAAAGGGGCAAGGGGAGAGACACATAGAGGGGCTGGGGAAAGGGAAAAAGAAACACACAAAGGGGTAATGGGAGAAAGAGACACACAAAATTGTCAATTTTTGTTTTGGGTGGTGCAAGTAGCTGGTCTTTCCTAGGGCGTAAATAGTCTAGTACCGACCCTGCCCACATACCAATTATCCTCCTCATCCTCCCTAGCCTTTATAAGATTACCCAAGTCCCATAATCAGATCAACGACATAAGCACCTCATCTTCTCTAGACTTCATCTCTAAAAGTCATATTACCCCATTCCCCATAATGGCTTCATGTGGAGAGTGTATTTCTGGAGTGCATCAGGGTGTGAATGTGGTGGCGCATTTCTGTAGAATGTCAGTGTATTTCTGTGGCGGTGTCAGTTTGAGTGTTTTGTGTGCAGAAAGTGTAATATGTTTATGGGATCTAAGTAAATATGTGAATGCATTTTTCAGTTCTGTCCTCCCCTATTCTCTGTGCATCCTTCCACTTTTTGCTTCTATCCTCATCTCCCACCTATCTGTCCTCCCTTATACACAAGTATGTCCAGTCTAGGCCCTTACGATCTGCTGAAGACTTACATCTATCTTCTGTCCGTACTCCCACCTCTGATGCTCACCTTCAAGATTTCTTGAGGGCTGCATCGTTCCTGTGGAACTCGCTTGTGATTACTTTGATATTGTGATGTAGCCAGAATTTTAGAATGAGGAAATACAAGAAACATTTTCCTAATAGCATGTTTCATTGTTATTTGTAGAATAGACATTCAAGGATATATCACTCACAGTACAGATAACTGCTTCAGGGTAATCAGGTTCCAGTTCAACATAACTATATGCCAACCAGAAACTCCCTGGTGCACCCTTGAACTCAATGACTTTCATACCAAATCTACATCTTTTTGGATTTTAAAGATCTTTTTGTCCTCCAGTTTAATTATTTTCCAAAGGGAGTTTTCTCTGTATGATCTATAGCTAGTGCTGTTCCAACACTTGGCATTGAGGACTGAGAGAGAGCGCCATATCATGCTGCTCTTTGGGAATTCATTTTTTCCCAGGCTATTGCATGTGTTAATTATTCTTTATCAAAATCACCTGGCATGCATGTGCATAATGATGCAATGTGTGGTTTAACTTTAGTAGGATCAGGGAGCTTTTGTGTGTCTCTAGGGATGTTGCCTTCACTTACTCTCAGTATTTAATATGATGCAAAAATTTATGTTATTAAAAAGCTTTTATAGCTTTTAAGTTTTGTTTGAAACTTCTCATAAAGAGGTTTTTTTTAATTAAGTGGTTACCAAAAAACAAAAAGAAAAAAAACCCAACTATAAAGAATTATTGCAAAGCAAAATTGATTGATCTATTGTCCACATTATATTATAATTTGGGTAAAAATTGCAATTCTCAATTTGAATTAATTCTGTTTAGGTTTATATTTGTATTAAAGGAAGGTATCAGTCAAAAAATAATATATATATAAAAATCATTTTATTATTGGGACCCCGACATTTTGAAACTTAAAGGGTCAAAACCTAGTAAACTTGTCTTTATTTCAGCCTCCTCTCTGCAACTCTGATACTCTTCCTGTGAAGTAATTGAGACATATTATGCATGTGCAGCAGTTGCTGTGATGCTTCCACAGTGCTTCTCATACAGCTCTATGAGAAGCACCCACAGTACAGATAGGGTCACTGCTGTTGTAGAGCTGCATAGACCACAAACACCTCACTTTTAGTATAGTCTCTTCGTATAGATGGTGGTCTATATTTCTTCCAACTAATGACTTAATTTAAAAAGACGAATAGTACTTAGGACCTCAATGCATTTCATCTATTTGCCAAGTTCAGGGGTTTTCACAACTACAGATATATGCCTACCTTTGGATATATACATAACGTACTCTAAATAAGACAAAACATTTATTTAATTTTAGCTTGCACTATTGCTTTGTTTGTTGTCTTTTTAAGTTTAAGGTGAAAAGAAATAGGTGTCTACCAAGTTCAGCCTTCCTCACATCTGTTTTTGCTGTTGATCCAAAAGAAGACAAAAAAAACCAAAACTGTTTGAATCACTTCCCATTTTGCAAAAAAAATTCCTTCTTGACCCCAGAATGGCAGTCAGATTAATCCTTGGATCAAGAAGCTATTACACTATGGTTGGAAAATTATATAATTGAATATGTTTTTGCAAGTATGCATGTTGTTGCTGTTTAAACATCTGCACAGACACTGATAAAACTACTTCTTCAGGCGTAGTATTCCACATCCTTATTGTTCTTACGTTACTTTCATTTGCCTTAAGATTCATACATCTTCTTTCTTCCAGTCTAAACGCATGACCTTGTGTCTTACGTAAAGTCCAGTTTGTGAATAAATTTCCACACAATGGTTTGTATTGGCCCCGGATATATTTGTATAATGTTATCATATCCCCTCTGCGGCAACATTTTTCTAAACTAAAGAGGTTTCATTTTGTTAACCTTTCTTTATAGCTTAAATGTTCCATTCCTTTTATTCATTTTGTAGCCCGCTTCTGCACTTCTTTAGAACAGGTGCCCAAAATTGCACAGCATATTCAAAATGTGGTCTTACCAATGATTTATAAAGAGGCAAATTCATATTCTCATCCCGAGTATGAATGCCCTTTTTCATACCTTATTGGCCTTAGCCACTGCTGATTGACATTGCACAATGTTGCCTAGTTTGTTGTCTATAACAATTCCCAAATCCTTCTTGTGTGTTGTTATACCTAAGTCACTGCTATTTAGGATATACGTTGCTTGTGCATCATTTAACCCGAAGTGCATAACTTTGCATTTTTCTACGTTAAATTTCTTCTGCCCTTTGAGTGCCCAGTCCCCCGGTCTATCTAAATCCCTCTACAGCAAAGTAATATCTTGCTGACGTATTACTTTACAGAGTTTTGTGTCTTCTGCATACACTAAAACATGGCTTTCAATGCTTATTTCAAGTTCATTTATAAATATGTTAAATAGAAGTGGTCCCAGAACAGAATCCTGAGGGACACCACTTACCACCTCTGTCCAGTTTGAAAATGTACCATATAATGGAATCTTTATGAAATTCCATTATATTGTACTGTACCCTAGGGCCTCTGCACCCAAACTGGGTGGTCACCTTAGGGGTGTTTTGCAAACCATGCAATGACCCCTGAAGGTGACAGAGCCACATTAACTGGAAGGCATTTGGAGAAGTATTACATCTGTGACTGCATATGTTAGATAGATTATTTTATAATTTGAATTGCTTGCTTTTTTGTGTGAATTAATAACATTGTTTTCATAATGTCCCGGTTCCCACCAGCAGGCACTAGAGCTCATTTTTCATGAATACAATTTCTTTCATTGAGAAAATGACTCTGCCAGTAAAACACTAGAGGCCACTGTTTCATTGCACACTGAACTGAATGATATACTACACTAAAGAGTAATAAAGTATTATAATATAAAATAAAGTTAAGGGAACACTATAGACACCCATTGAAGTGGTCTGGGTCAGTGGCGGATCCAGGGGGGGGGCAACGGGGCAATTGCCCCCCCCGAGAAATCCGCCGGTCTCCCTCCCCTGCCAGCAGCACATGCAGGTGCTAGCCCTGCAATGTGCCTGCGGACCGGAGGGGAGATCAGAGATCTCCCTCCCCGGTCCGCAGGCACTGTGCTGACAGCCGGCAGGGGAGGGAGAGGGAGGACCCGGGAGCTCAGTCTGCAGCTCCTCCGGGTCCTCCTCTCGCGAGATTTGGAGCGTTGCCAACGCTCCAAATCTCGCGAGAGTGAACTGTAACCACTGGGACCACCAGGGAATCACCACTGGGACCACCAGGGATGAAAATATGTCCCCCCCTCCTCCTCAATAAAGGTAAGAAGGGAGGGGGGACATAGAATATATATATTTTTTTATTAAATAAAGATATATATATATTATTAAAAAAGCCCCCCCCTACCCTTAACACACACACACAAACACATAGCCCCCATACTGCCCCCCATACACACATACTAAATCCTATATACACACAAATACTGCTCCTACACTAATGCCTCAATACACACATAACCACACCTCATGCCCCCATACACACATACTGCTCTATACACTTCTAGCTACTATAACATAATGCCCCCATACACACATACATGCTCTATACACATATACTGCCCCCATACACATACTGCTCTATACACACAACCAAAAAACAAACCACCCAACATATACTACCCTATACACATACTGCTCCCCATACACACATACTACAACTATATACAAACCCAACATACTGCCCTATACACACACATAATGCCCCCCCATGCTGCCCCTATACACACATACATATACACTACATGCTCCCCCTATACACACACATACTCCTCTATACATACTGCCCCACATACACACATACTGCCCCTATACACATAATTGCCCCCCATACTGCCCCTATACACATACTACCCCCATACACACATACTGCCCCTATACACACATACTGCCCTCCATACACACACATACTGCCCCCTATACACATACTGCTCCCCCCACCATACACACACTCACTCTCATCACACACATCCACTGCCCCTATACACACACACATACTCACCCCATACACACACACATACTGCCCCCCATACACA